TATCAATCGTTCAAATAGTTTGAGTGATATATACAGTAGTTTAAGATTTATTGATAAATTATATTATTTTAAAATGTTCACAAAATTTACACTTAAAAATGTATTAAACAATCGGAAATAAAATCAATTATTATTAAATGTGTAATATTTTATCAATTTTTTAATTTGTTTTATCAAAAGATAGTTTTGATTTTTTTTTTGCTTAATTATATCATTAAGTGTTCGCATAATTGAATACATTATACAATCGAAAAATATTCCTAATAATAAGTCAATTTATTATTACAAATGCTGAGCATGTATTACAAGCATTTTGCATACAATTAGGCTTATTTTCGTGACTATATTTTTAACAATTGTATAAAAATACAAAATATATTTCCTAATGTATTTTCAAGAGTTCTTAAAATAACACTAAAATATTCTTAATAAATATATGCATAAAAAACATAATGTAATAAAAAACGTAAAAACATTAGACATTATGTAAAACAATAACGATAATCAATAAAACAATTTTAAATAATACTCACATTTTAGAAGGTATATTGGATTCTTCGAGAATATTCTGGCAAAAGTTACTTATTGTTATGTTAAGAACGCTCTTAAATCAGTTACTAACTAAACTTTGAAAAACTTTTGATAAATAAAGCTATATATTTCATTATAAATATTTGAAAAAACAACACGTTTTAATATTATATTTTGAGAGAAAACTTCTATTCAAAAGCTCTTTAGCAGCAAAACAGAGCAGAAAAATGTGAAATCGATTTGAGATTTATGTTTCGCTATATTCTTCTTCTTTCTCCACTTCTTGGGAGAGAAGGAAGAATAAGAAGAAGAAGACATGTTGACAAAACATAAAAGTGTTGTTAAGTTTGTTGTTTTGATTTGTTGTTAGTCTTTTTGAGTTATAGATAACCCTCATATGCTATGCCTCGTGTCGATGCCGTTGCTGTTGGAGTAGTAGTTATGATGATTGTTGCGGAGACTGTGGCTGTGGTGAAGGGTATGATTGGTATGACTACTGCTGGCGATGGAGTTGTTGTCTCTCTCGAGCGATGAGTGAGGAGTAGTGGCTCTTCTCGTGCGCCACAGATATCTCTGTCTGGAGTGAGCGGTGAGAGCTTGAAGTCGACGCACCAGCAGTTGGTATACGTTTGATCTACAGGTGAAGGCGAGAAAAATGATCACTCCTTGCAGTGAAGAGAATGCGTGCGTATAGAAGAAGAGGTGACTGATTGGCGTGAAGATGGCGATCAACGATAGTATCCACGTTAGGCCCAGTATTAGCGCCAGTTTCGTGTACCAAATGCATTGGGCTCTGCGAGGGGTACCACATGTCGCCCACGTATACGTGTGTTCATGTGTTGTATACAATATAACAATATTAATACATTACATATGCGATACAATTAATGTTACGTTTATAATGCACGGTATATGCTTGTAAATTGTTTATAAAATTAATTCCTGCTATTTATACAATAAGCAACATATTATGTGCACACAAGCATTTGGTCATAAAATTTTTATTTATTGATGTAGAAAATTCTTTATGTCAAAGACTGTGCTTTTATTTTTGGGTAAATAAGCTCAAGTAAAGAATATTCAGTAAATAGGAATATAAAGGAATAGGAATAATAGAAATATATACTATATATATAAATCTCAAAAAATATATTTCTCAAATTGCAGACTGATTAGTATAATAGAGAAGTGAGTAACTGAGAGAGTGGGTGAGAGAGAGAGAGAGAGAGAGAGAGAGAGAGATCAATATATTATTTTATTATTTGTTATTATATAAGTATACTCTCAAAATCTTATAATAACTTTTTATTACTTTACTATTGCCACATAATATTTTTTCAATTAATTTGAATACCAATAAATAAAATTACTAGTTGTTTATTCTCATTTAAATAAACAAAATGTATTACAAGTACAACCAATCAGTTTTACTATACATTTTATGTAAATAAATAATATAATAAACAAGATTTAATCAAATATTTTACTCAATCAATAAAATATACAAATGTATATTTCATAATACATACAACTAGTTTATACTTCAGTTAATATTGTATAAATAGTTGTTATATGTTTCATAAAATAAAAGAAATGTAACATTAAATAAATGATATTTGAATTCTCAAAACAATATTCTGCAGTAAAAATGGCCAAAAAATCGAGTCTTATTCTTATAACAAAAGTATTAATTTATTTTTGCCGCTCGTATGGCATAACATTAGGCGGATTGGCCTTAGAGTACACACCGGACGGCAAATGTCGGGTCACTTGCGATAAACGGTGGAAATACGGCGGAAATGTTGTCACAATTATCATGATTATATGGATGGCTATATACGGTCCACTATTTAGCACTGGTTTGTTATTAAACGTAAAACCACAATCAGTTGGCATAGCTCATTATATAATAAACGTTGCACATGGAATGACTATTTGCGTTACTCTATATTTTCTCAACTGGCGTTCATTATCAGTATTTGAAAGAATCCTGATCAATTTTCCAATAAACTCCCACATAAAATATAATGGTAATTTGCTCAGCTTGATCATTTTAACCATAATATACATTTCAGTTAACTGGGTGGTTACCATAATGAATGGTATAGTGGTCGGGAACAATGTGGTATTGGTTGGTATCATATTTTTTCATTACTCTTTTATTTGGTTCTGGATATTACCCTTCAATGTCGCTTTAATAGCCATATATTTATCACAATTACTCGAATCTGTTTGTCATGAATTGGTTTATAATCAAGAAATTACACGTAATGATTGTTCGGGTATTGAATTGCAAATTAAATAATTAAAAATGATATACAATAATGTATTATTAAAAAATATTTATGCATTAATAGCTCAATCAATTGCGAAATCAGTGGCAAAACTGAGACAAATGAGACAATTATATCTTAAAATACAACAAATAGTCGGTTATATAGACAATCAATGGCGGTTAGTGTTGGGGTTGAATACAGTGTTGGCCATGTATGCAGCGATGCTAACCGTCTATACCCTCGTAAATCTGCATAAATTACCGTTTTTCCGACAATACATACATTTGCTAGTATTTCAGGGCTTGTGTTGTATCTCTCAGTTCATGATGTGCTGTCATTTTTGTGGACTCATTGAAACCAATGCTCAGAAAGTGAGCGCAGTTTTGGACGGCATGGTATCGGACAGGGATTTGTCCAATAATGAATACCGGGAGTGGTCTGTATTGAAGAAAATTACCACAAGTACCCAATCGTTTGGCATAACTGTCGGTGGCTTCGCTAAATTTAATAAATCAACATTAATTGCAGTTTAGTATTGATTTTGTTTAAAACAATTTTATCATTTATTATACGACAAGTAATTAATTGTTACAATCGAACTAGGTGTTTACATTTGTTATGAACTATACGGTTATTTTGGTTCAAACAGCTGATAATTAACAACAAAATTGGTTGTGTGTGTGAGAATAATAAATAATAAATTCTCAATAATGAATTTTGAGTTGAAATAAATAAATAAATATTTTAATAATGTTATTAATAATAATTCATATGTATTTATAAAATAATGTAATTATACACAAATAATGAGATTACAATATTCGCAAAACTAATTAAAAAATAAATGATAAGTATTGGTACAAATTGAAAAGAAGTCGCCTTCGTGTGAATGCGTGAACATAGATATATAATTATTTAATTTTTGTTTCTATCTCTAAGCATTATAAATGATTATTATTTTTATGTTTTTTTTAATTCAGATTTAGTAAAAAATCTTTTTTCACAATCATTTAAATTGCATTTCTATTTGCGGACATTTATATGACATCTATTTTTGTGTAGATATAAACCATTTGATTGAGTGAAGCTTTTGTTACAATTATTGAAATCAGTGATTTCAAATCACAAACAAATGCTTTTTCTCCCGAATGCATGCCTTTGTGTTGAATTAGATATGATTTTCTGTTGAAACTTTTGCCACACTTTTCTTCATTGCATTTAAATTTTCTTTCATTTAAATGAACACAACTTTTGTGGTGAAATAAAGCAGATTTTTGTGTAAAACTTTTGTCACAATCAATGAAATCACAAATAAATTGTTTTTCTCCCGAATGTATGCGTTTATGTTCAATGAGTTCTGATTTTGTGTTGAATTTTTTGCTACAATTTTCTTCATTACATTTGAATTTCCTTTCATTTAAATGAACACAACTTTTGTGTCGAAATAAATGAGATTTTTGTCTAAAACTTTTGTGGCATTCATTGAAATCACAAACAAATCTCACTTTTAAATGAACGCTATTTTTGTGTTCATTTAAATGATGTTTACGTGAATACAATTTATTGCAATTAGTAAACTCACATTTAAAATTCTTTTCACAATGACCTGTTTCATGAATTTTTAAATAATGTTTAGTCTGTGTTTTGTATTGACATTTAGGCCAAAAACAGTGAAAATAATATTTTGTATTTATTTTTAAAAAATTTCGATTCGATATTTAATTAAAAGTAAAGTTACTATAAATTTAGATTTATAAAAANTTTATCACTGATTTTACATGAATTGCAATCAATTGTTTGATTGATTGAAAAATAATCATTATTTTCGCATTCAATCGCTTCACACAAAACACTATTATTTGTATTCAAAATACACTGAATTTTGTCTATTATTTCACACAAACTCTTCATTGCATTGAATTTACTCTTCATTTCACTAAACATTATCTTTGAACACATTTTTATAAATCTAAATTTATAGTAACTTTACTTTTAATTAAATATCGAATCGAAATTTTTTAAAAATAAATACAAAATATTATTTTCACACAAAATACACGTTGTTTTAACCAGATTTGTGTTTTGATAACAACTGCACAGGTATTTGCTTTTGAAACAGGTATTTAATAGCACGTGTTCATAGGTATTAAGTTAATACAATGAACATACAATATAAAACATTCGTGACCATGATTAATAATCCAAGCCCTATGTTATAAATAATTTAAATAACAATGAATTGTAAATTTAATACAATTTTATAATAATTTATATATTCTTTAAAACAATGTTATATTCGTGAGGACTATAAGAATCGGTGACATTAGGGTCGGGATCTATACCACCGTTACTGTCGAGGACTAACTCATAGTCTTGTGTGGACTGAAGAAATCGGACCAAAACCAGGAACAGGTCAGCGATGGCTAACTTCTCGCCCAAACAGCCCCTCCGTCCCAAACCAAACGGTATATATGCGGGTAATCGTGTTGTAATAAACTGACCATGCTCATCCACAAATCTGCGGTATAAATTCATTGGCATTTTCAGTCCAATACTTTTTGTTCGTTAATATCGACCCCTGATATACCATTACAGCCGTGTTTTCTGGTATCATATAATTGCCTAAAAAATTGTATTGAAAAAAATATTTAACAAATGTTTTAAAAATTTTTATTTTTGGTTCATTACCAATAGTACTCGTGACCACTGCTTTATGGGGTATACCCGACGGCACAACATTTCTAAGTCTCAGTGTCTCTGCGATGAAAGCCATGACATAATGGCATCGATTCCTGTCCTCATGTGTTGGCATTCGGTCTCCAATTTGGGACTCAATCCCTTGTCTCAACTTCTGCTGCATTTCTGGATAGTATGTCATCAGAAGTAGAATCCATTGAAATGTCTGCTGAGAGGTATCGGTTCCGGCGAAGAACATGTCAAAGACAGTCATCGAAAGGTTATCATCGGTCAGATGGGGTGCGGACTCTTTGCCGTCTCTGAGGGCGTCATTCTTAGCACTGATGAGTGCATCGCAAAAGTCTCTCTCAATTGACTCGTTATAGTCGTCATAATGTGGTCTGAATTTACTTCTAATCATTTCAACCAATTCTGTGATAATTTTTCGCTGTTTTTGTGCCAACTTTTTGTCCAAAAATCTCAATAACGGCGAGAACTCCCACAACAGGAACCGACTGCCGGCCTCTTTGCCGAAGTCCTTCAGCGCATACTTTATTTGCTTAAATTCCTTGTCTTCAATGTTATATCTGATGATAAAATGTTACAAACAATTAATTATTAGATTTAATTCTTAAAGTTATTGAAAATTAAATAAAATGTAATACAAACCTCTGGCCGAAAGCACTGGCGGACATAATATTGAGAAACATTAAGTAGATATAGTTTTGCGGATTAAATGCCCGGTCCGTCCCCTCCCTGTTCAACATTTCCTTCAGTGTTTGGTCGACACAATCAACGGCTAAATACACGAGTTTGTCATTTGTTGAGTACTTTCTATATAAAAAATAAAATGTCATTAATTGTCATACAATACACATATCAAACAATCAAAATATGAGACATACTGTGCGGCCGAGTGGGCCACCCGTCGGAGCGCTTCCCACGTGTGGCCATAGTCTGTGAAGAGAACGTCTTGGAAGCGATCATTGGACAGTTGACTGCCTATTAAGTAGACAAAATAAAGTGCAAAAATGATTATTATGTACACAAATGGCGTTCATTATTGCAAATCATACCAAAGTAAGAGTCGGGTCGACCCGCGAAGTCATTCTTCCTGAACGCCTCGCGAGCGATGTCCACATCCGTGACCATCACATGAGGCCTATTGAATATCCAGAAGGTATATACCGGGCCGTACTCGTAGCCCTTGAACAGGTCCTTGAACACATCGAAAACGGACTTGGTCGATTTGAATGCTGTGCAAACCAATTCAAACATTGTGCATTTATAAGACTGATAATTATGTTAGTTGTTTAAAAATTTGATTATAACCTGGTGTTGTTTTTATTCTTACCAAGCACATTGCCAATTATGGGCAGTGGGTATGGTCCTGGTGGTAGACTGTAAACATGGTAGTAAAACTTTGACAGCTTGTACACTATGTATGCGATTGTAAGCGTTATAAGAGTTGTACACAAATCGCTGGTTAAAAGCGATATTAATTGTTTAAATACAGACATTGGTATTAAAAATGTTACTTATGACAAACTATTTATCCTGGATAACATGGTTAAAACTAATATAAACTTTTAGTTAGGTATATAGAATTGATTACAAAACTATTTTTGTATTATTAACCACACCTTTCGCTATATTTTGTGAAGGAAATGACTCCTGAGGAATAAATTGTCTCATTTTAACCATTATAATAACCATTGTATTATCTTATTTTATATTTTGTCTTATTTTATGCACTTTCATATATACACACATACATTTGCATGCATACAAACGCATTGCTTTAATTAGCACCTCTCACCCGTTGGTGACCTACATATACTCTCTCACCCTTTTATTGCCCTAAATATGCACTCTCACCCTTTTATGACCTACATATGCACATTTATTCTTAGAACTAACCATTGCAATACATTTTGACTACAATTTACATTAATTCATTTTGATATGTTTTTTTACATTTAATACATCACAATTATAAACATAAATTACGTTTTACTCATTATATAAAATTATAAAACAACGCATCGAATGATACCAAATTCGAGCGCCAATTCCATGTATTTCGCTCTCAAATAGAGAGACTATTTCTGTACGAGCTGTAGCTCCAAAAACAATAGTTTTTGAGCTATGGTTGACATTTATATCAATAAAGACTAGCGTATTTTTGAACCTAAAATTGGGTACTTTCTCTTTCTTACGCGCGTCGGCTTTACTCGAAGCTTCGACCGCATTCTGCTACTCTGCGTGAGTCTGCCTCGGCATTGACCGCAAAGTTCTACCGGCTTTACTCTCATACCCATAATACGGCGCTGACCTATGCTTTGTCTACACAATACAGTATCTGCCGTCCAAATTCCGGCAATACTTCCCCAGTAACCCCTCCCCCTTTTACTTTGCATTGTTCAGTGACCCGTCGCTCAATTCATTATTGAGCTTCGCTTATATTAGGATCGGCTTCAATGCCATTATGGCTGTCGAGGACTAAATCATAGTCTTGTGTGGACTGAAGGAATCGGACCAAAACCAGGAACAGGTCAGCGATGGCCAGCCTTTCGCCCGGACAGACACGACGGCCCACACCGAAGGGTATATAGGCTTTGGGTCGGGTTGTAATGAACTGTCCCTCACTGTCCACAAACCTCTCGGGTATGAATTTCTCGGCGTTTTCCCAATCGCTATCATTGCGTAAAATAATTCCCTGGTATACAAAAACTCCTGTATCTTTAGGTATTATATAATTGCCTAAAAATTAATTAATTTTTGTGCTTAGTATTGTATAACAAATTATAAATCACTTTTATTCAAATTCCTAATTTCATGCCTATTTTACTGGTGACCACAGCTTTATGGGGAAGAGCAGAGGGCAACGGATTCCGGGCCCGCAGTGTCTCAGCAATGAAAGCCATGACATAATGGCATCGATTCCTGTCCTCATGTGTTGGCATTCGGTCTCCGATTTGGGACTCAATCTCTTGTCTCAACTTTTTCTGCATTTCTGGATAGTATGTCATCAGAAGTAGAATCCATTGGAAAGTCTGTTGTGTGGTATCGGTTCCGGCGATGAAGAGATCAATGATAGCCATCGAGAGGTTGGCGTCCGTGAGATAAGGGGCCGACTCTTTGCCGTCTCTGAGGGCGTCATTCTTAGCACTGATGAGTGCATCGCAAAAGTCTCTCTCAATTGACTCGTTATAGTCGTCGTAATGTTTGATAAACTTATTTCTGAGTAAATCAATGACACCTCTCGTAACTTTTATTTGTTTTGCCACTCGTTTTCTATCAATGAATCTAATAATAGGCGAGAATTCCCACAACAATATTCGGCCACCGATTTCCATGGCCTGGTCTTTCATACCATATTTAAGGTATTTAAACTCCTTGTCTTCCATATCATAACTACATTAATAAAATTATGCATTAATTAATTTATTATTAGTTTATATTTATCAAAACCTCTGTCCAAAAGCACTGGTGGCCAAAATGTTGAGAAACATTAAATAGATATAACTCCGGGGATCAAAAGCATTGCCCACTCCTTCCTTGTCTAACATGGCTTTAACCGTACGATCGACTGAATCGGTGGCCACAGAGATAAGCCTTTCATTTGTCGAATATTTCCTTAATTTTTAATGTAAATTATTTAAACTCGTGTTAAAATAGACATTTATAAAACTGAATTAACGTATACATACTGAATGGCTGAGTGGGCCACACGTCTCAACGCTTCCCATTTATGACCGTAATCGGCAAAAATGATATCGCTGAATTCATCGTTTGACAACTGTTTGCCTGTTTAATAATTATAGCTTAAAATTAAATGAGTTATGAATAGATTATATCAAATATCCTACTTTTAATAAATTTATTATGAATAATAAATATAACTAATATATGACATAAATAAATCATATGCAAATAATAATATGCATTAATAATATGCTTTATTTACCAAAATATGAATCGCTTCGTCCGGCGAAGTCATTCTTGCGGAGAGCCTCGCGGGACAGCTCGATGTCGGTCACGAATACCTGCGGTGTTGTCCCAAACCATAGGGTAAATACCGGGCCGTACTCTTTGGACACCCGTCGGAACACTTCGTCCGGATTGTCTTTACATCTAAATACTAATTTTATCATCATTATATTAATTGTTATACTTTACTATTAGTAACTAATGTTAATTAATTATTATTTTAATTATACACAGGTATGTAATTTTTTACTGTCAGTAATTAATATATTAAATAAATGTAAATTTGTTTACTTACATAATATATTGCCAATTAAAGGTAGAGGGTGTGGACCGGGCGGCAGATTATACCGTGTGTAATAAAATTTAGCTAATTTATACACTATGTAACCAATTATTAATGTTATAAGAGTTGTACTCAAATCACTGAATAATAATGAGATTAATTGCGTTAATAAAGACATAATTAATACACAATTTAAATACTTTTATATTTTACTAAAACAGAAAAATTTGAAACTATTTTAGTTTAAGTTTGCAATTGAATGATAAATCCCACAACACTTTCATATTTATACTTATGTTTTCAATCAAATGAAATTAATTGATGATTGATATGACCTTGTTCACTAATTTACAATTGAACAATGTTAAATCCTGTTAGTGATAAAACTACTATTCACTATAGCAATATGGGTACATTAAGAACAGTTTGACCATGGCCTTTGTTTATAAACAAGTTTTTATAAATGATGTTACATGATGTTATTGTTGTAAGTTAATCATGTAGTGTTGACTAGTATTTGTTTTACTATGTTAATTTGTTTCAAAAGTGAAACACATATTAAATTACGGTTTTAATATCACTATTTTATTAGTAATAATAATTTATTTTTTTGTATATTGTTATTTATTGTCATAGATATGTTTATTGACATGTTTATTATGTTATAATAGTATCATGTTGACTACCTTATTCATGAATATTTAGATACAGATATGATAATCAGTAAGTTTATATTTACAATATATTATTTTTATTTATATTCATTTAGTCATTAGATTTGAATTTACATTCTGTTTATAATAATTTATAAAAATTATCACAATTATTACAGACATAATTTACATTATTGTTTTTCGTTGTTAGATAATGTTTGTTAACAACACATAAATCAAATAAAACACCCCAAATATTACCACAAATGAGATCAGAGACTGCGATATCTATATAGTGAAGACATAATACGAATTAATACAAAATATATCAAATTAAAAATAATTAAAACAAATTAAAATTCAAATACAAAAACAATGTTTCGACACAAACCTTATTTTCAGTGTCTGTGATATCCGACTCTTTTTCAGAGAGTTTGCGCTGTTTTGTAAATTTCTGATCGCTTTTCTTAAAATCATTTTCACCTAAATTAAGCCAACAATTAAAACATGGTAACAACACAAACACATAAATTACTCGACTATAACATACCGATCCGTTTGCGGTGAATAGTGACCGGATTTCTGTGTTGGATGTGTTTGTCCGACATTTATGTGTTGGCATTCATTGCGATACAAAATGTGCACAAATAAGCAATAATAATATGTTTACACTTTTTGTGCTCAACACTTATCAGCGATTGTATGGCATCATAGATATGCCTATTTTGAGAAGCCCAAGGTCGGTCCAGAGAGCAGTAAACCCCCCTTGATCACTTTATTTTCATTGTCAGCCTCACCCATACGGCACTTATGGCACTCTTTGGACCCATTTATTTAACACTTGTAAATTTTTCACTATTTATGTTTTTAGTTGGTTAGTTAAAATAATACACCATGGCCATTGACAGACTCAATTACCATATGCTATATTCAATATTTGCGCATATAATTTATTAATTATAAGTTTATGAAAATTACATTCAATTGCTATTTATGTATGATTTAATAGCAATCATAAGTCAAACACACAAAACATATTTATTATTGTCTGTATTTTTGCTAAACATTTGGTCGTCATATCAACTAATATTATATTATTTATGATGAGATCCATTGATATAATATATAAGTTACTGTATTTGACATTTTCGTGCATTAAATTTATTATATAATAACAAATGCAGAGAAAGAAGAGAGAGAGAGAGAGAGAGAGAGAGA